CGATCTTCATCTCCATTTATATAAAATTAGTTATTAATATGTACAGGAATCAACAATATTAATCATCAATTAAATAAGATCGGGTTACAACAGCCCATATTTATTACTTAATGTGATTACAAGGGTCACATTTATAACACTAGCTAGCACGGATCATAAAATATCACTTCGACATCGATGTTTATAATAAACCGATACCGAAATAATGTTTGTTTGTTATACTATATAAGTGGTTATGCTTTTGCCTTATTTTTTTAAATTATTTTTTTTATTTAAGGGTTTATTGTCGCATCAACACAGGGGTTATTAGCGACGAACAGTATTTATTTTTGTATTCAAGTGGAAGTGCATATATTATCAGTGTGACAGTGTGAAGTTGTTCTGTATATGTCAACTAACCGTTTATTCCGTGGAGGGAGTACCTCATACAGTTCCGATTGTTGCGACGGTGCGTAAACTTCTCTGTTTTCGGTGGTTCTGTTTGTGATAACCGACTTTAACACGAATACTGCTGACATTTTCACAAATGTACGTTTCGCGATAAGTTTATGTAGCGGATGCTGGAGCAGAGCCATGTCCTTTTGATGTTTTTGTATATGTTGTGTGTCAAAATGGATCGTAGATGTGTTTTAGTATCAATTTGGTTTATCTCATTCACCTTTATTTGGTGGTGGATCATTCGTTTTCTCCCGTTTTGGTTTTCTACTTTCGGTTCGGTCCCGTTCGTATGAGTTGCGGTGTCTTAATGTGATCACTTTATTCATGAAAATTCCAAAAAAAAAATTTCCGATTTGGTTTTTTTTCTGATGTTATTTGAACAAAAAAGTACACATTGTTTTGAGTAGCAATTTATTATGAATACAACGGTACACGGCCAGTGGCGGATTTAAATTTTTTGCGCCCCTAGGTACACCAAAAGATATGCGCCCCTCCAAAAATAATCTTTAAATTTCAATAAACTTTAAGATGCTAATAAAAATCACATTATACCTTGAAATTTTTAAAACTAATAGATTACGTTTTCACACATGTCAAAACTTGCATTGGCGATTATCGTTCTTGCAGTTCAGTTTGTTTAAACTGTCTACCAATTCCAATTTATTTCATAATTTTAATTAAAAATTTTTTTCATTTGTAACTTGTTAGGGGACTTATTTTAAAACTTAAAATATTATCTAAAATAAATATAGTGCAAAAAAATGCCGCCCCCTAAAGCTGACGCCCCTAGGCACGTGCCTAGAGTGTGCCTGTATGTAAATCCGCCACTGTACACGGCACACAAAAAACAAAAGATGGAAACAGTTGGTTTCAACGGGATGGTGTATCGGACAAATTTTTCAAGAAATTTGTCCGATAGGTATTCTCGTACGATTAGGGCGTTGTGCGCGGGTGTACCGTCCTGTTGAAATAAACAATTTCCCTAATGTGACCATCGTCGTATTTTGTATAGTTTCGGAGATTCGTCATTTGGGGACATTTTATACTATATTGCATACATAGTGAGCACCCTGTATGTATGCACAAATTAATAATAAGGATTTTGTGACTTCAATTACCCATAATAGAAATCGCAGAGTAAGTACGTACTTATTATGATATGATTACATTACAAAAAAGGAAGCAAAAATTTAAGTTAAATTTAGTACATAGGTTTAGATTTCGTAGTAATATCTTATTTGATGGATATCGTTTAAATTAGACAAGCTTCAACTACCTACTGCAGATACTTGGGGCACTCCACGTTTACAGGTTTTCACTCTCAGTCAAATAAGGTTTATATCATATATTGCATGTACTTTCTTAAATTATATGAATCTAATAAATCTAAAAATGATTGGTGCAACATTGTCGTCCTATACTGCAATAGGATGTTGATACATCCAATTGAAGTATGTAACCGGATTTTCATATCGGTAAATGTGTATTGTGATCAGCAACCTGTAAGTTTAAGTAGGTGTCTAATTCCCTAATAAGTGCACATTTGCACTTCTTTTGTCAAGTAAGAGGGCTTCAATTTTACGATTTCCTACCTTTACACATGTCAATCCTCAAGCCGCCCATTTTCTTCTCATTTCATGTTGTAACACTCGTAAGTATGTACCGTAGATAAAGAAGACGGCGCACGACAATCACTGCAGTTGTAATGAAGCAATCATAACAAACAAACATATTTATAGATATAATGGTCACCATGATGGTCACGGTAGTTCACAAACAGAAACAATTTTATTGTAATAGAAAAAGAAAAACACATTTACAACAACTACAGTCTTTCTTTGATGTCTTTACCTATGGACTACAATTTGTTACGAGAAGACGTATACGATTTGAATTAGTGAATGGCTTCTTCATAGTAAAAATATAAGACGTTAGCGATTTCTTGATACATATCTCAGTAAAGAAGGTAACTCGAACACGTAGGTGAACAAGTATTTCAAATTCCTATCTAAACACGGTTACGGCTCCTATTGGATTGGTGCATTTTTTTTTGTAATAGGTAGATAATAATTATTGTACTATCTACACATTGATTGAATGAAATTCGTACAAACCTATATATACTTACATTACAATATGGCAAAATCTATTATTGTATCTATGTAGTAGATATTCCATATTGATTAATTGATTATACTAAATTAATGTTACTCTTTGTAATGTACAGTGGCGTAACAACGACATGGCGTTAGTTATAAATATGCATTGCTACTTACTATTTAGTAAGCAGTTCTATTTTGCTTGGGTTTCGGATCATTTTACCAATGGTCTTTTTTTAAAGTAGGCTAATCAAACATTCTGGGACGTAAAATTATGTGCGTTTTATTTATGCGCAATTACTTATGCATTATTAATCACTTACTTGTACCATATATATAATATGTAAGCGCGAATTTCACTAGTTATTAAGTTGTTCAGAATTAAAAGGTGCATACAAAACTGTTTTTACATGTTTTATTAAGCTTTTGGTATACCCGCAAATTTAAAAATAAATTTCGACATTTCTGTTATGCTACTAATAACAGAAACTTTGAAATTTATTTTTAAATTTGCAGTATACCAAAAGCTTAATAAAACATGTAAAATAGTATATTAAGATACAAGTGTATAATCAAGTCTTTAAAGCACGCGCAACGAGTTTAAGGGCACGACGCAAAGCGGAGTGCCTTTAACGTTGCAAGTGCTTTAAAGACCAATTATACACGTGTATCTTATAGTATTTTTTATTATACCTGCAGTATAATTTAAAAATAGGAAATTCAATGAAATCATATTGACGTTATACTCGAATACATGTCTAATTAAGTGGGCTGGGTGTTCGTAATTTCACGATTGCCATGGAAATGTCACTTGACGTTTGCTTATAAAAATTGTCGTCTTTGTGAATAAAACGATTTCCGTTGAAAAAGATAATTACACCGTCCATTAAATCGCTGGTTGTAAAATCTAAACAAACGTTGGTAGGTGTAAAATCTCAATCCAGTAAAGCTTATTATCAAGCATATGAAAAGTTGTTTCCATGGATGAATAGGAAGTTACTTACGAATAAAGTCTTAAATGCATCGACAATGCTGGCATTTATGAAGGAAATGTCAAAGGTATTTAAATCTTCTATATTTTGGTGCATTCATTCAAAACTTTAAAGCAATGCTGCGATTAAAAAGTGGAACAGATTTGGAAGCATACCCTAAATTACGCGCGTTTGTGAAAGCTTCAACCAAAGGATAGGTACAAGCCAAAGAAATGTTCTGCATTTAGAGAAAGCGACTTAGGAAGATTTTTTATTTCACCCAGATGACAGTTTCAAAAGTCACACTTGAAGTATCGTTACTTAGCAACTTTAAAGCACGTGTGTTTTAATAGTTATTTATGCAATGAGTGTATAAATGAGGCGTTTTATTGGTGTGAGATGTTTAGTAATTCGAACGAACCAATAATCGCCGATTTATACATGAATTGCATACAACGTTTTTTCGTCGACCTCACTGGGGTAGGTTATTTTAAAATCAACTACGAGAAATTACAAAAGAGATTATGAGGTACGATTTTTCACTAAATATATTGTCGTTGCTATAGTAATATGTTGTTTAATGCTGTACCGTCAGTTCTCGTAATCGCAGTGGAAGATTATGTTGCAGCAACATAATCTTCCACTGCGATTGTTGCTTGCTCTGCTGCGGAGGCGATTTTAACAGTATATCCCCTCAAATCAAAAGAAACTTATTGGAACGGTTTCGATCAGTTCGGCAATTGATGGAATACAATGAATTTGAAAGGAGATATTTCCGAAAATGTCATGACATTTTACCTTGAAAAGGTATGTGAAATAGTGAAATTAGAATGTAATTAATTCTTTTGCAACTGTACTAAAGTACGTGTATTAACAGTTAAAGATATGGAAAAGTTCATCTCTGTGGGCGACGTACCTACTCAATGTTGAAGGTAAAGTAACTGGATACCTTAACAATACCTTATCCGAGAAGCTACACAGGATATGCTTTGCTGAGATCGTTGGCGACCATACTGGCTGCTGATCTCACTACATTAAAACCGAGATTAAAATGGTTAGGTGGATGGAAGTTCTCAGCTGTTGCCGAAAGTGAATTGTTATATAAATGTCATTTCCCTTTAATAAAATGGTTGTTATGTATAAGTTGATGCTAACGATTAATGGTTGCTAATGCATAATGGTTATGTATAAGTGGTTGCTAACGATTAATGGTTGCTAACGTATAATGGTTTGATTACTGCACCCGTAACTAAGGTGTAATTTATGCTGTTATCGAGAGGTCGACGAAAAAGGCCTTTTTTCGCACGCATTTGAGTGTTTAAAACGGAGATTGTGATTCAGGTATAATAAAAACAGTTTATAAGCACCTTTTAATTCTGGACATCTACAGTTTTTCCTGTAAAATGTACAGGAGGGCAGGATAAAACTAATTTTCCATGTTAAATCCTTATGTTCCTACTTACCGTGCACCACCCGGTATAATATAGCTGTTGTCAAGCTTCTCACAAAATAAACACAACTTGTACTTTTGAAGAGTACGATGCACCGAACGAACAGTAGTCCCGAGAACATGCAATTAATTATCTTCCGCCAAAACTGGTTTCCGTTTAACTGTCCTTTCTCGTTTTACACACCCAGTAGTTGTAAATGTAGGAGCACCTTTTGAAACTCTCGTGGATCTGGATGTGTTCTTTCAGCGTACACTCGTGACGCCAACAAACAATTTCGGTAACATGTCGGTTTAATATTAACTATTATGTTTGTAAGGTGTATCAGGAGTTTGTGCTTCTTCCATCAGAGGAGTTTGTATAGGATCGGACGAACTAGCTTGTGGTTCGAACGGGCGTGTTTCCAGACCACTTATAGCCTCCTCTGCTCTCTGACATCTTCTTCTCTTTAATGTTGCGGAGCTTGCAACAGGAACGCCAGTTGAAGTTTTCTGGCAGAGAAACAGATGAGGAACAACACCTTTCTTCAATCTGGGGCGAACATTTTTCATTAGCTTAAATTGCCAGTAATTGTCAAGATCTTCTTCTAACTAGAATAAAACGAAACGTACCTATATTAAAATACTTTAGCATATAGATGCCGGAACAAAATCTGTTCCGGCGGCTTAAGTTGTTTCAAGTAGGAATTAAAATTTAAAAGAAGTATAATAAAAAATATCGTTCATTACACGTCCAGAAATGCTTTTTCCGTGCTTGCATGACTTCCAATTTGGAAGTTGGAATTTGCCACCCGCGCACGGAAAAAGCCTGCTTTCCGGACTCCTAATGAAATATACTATTATGGGCCGGTGGGATTCTGCCACTTAACTAGTTACTTAAGTCAAAAAGTATTGTAAATTTTTGCCAGAACAGGAGTTATAATTTCTATGAACGAATATTTTTCGTTAACGATCATTTAAGAGGATTTATTGGTATGGGCAAAGAGAACTGGTTACTCTTTGGTATGGGGTTAGTGCAGGTATTCACCTTATAGTGGTTGTAATATGGGAATAGTATCACAGAGTGTTTAAATCTGTGATAGTATTTACACCTACGTATATTTATAAAGTAAGCTGGTTGGGAAGGAGCGCTGTAAATCATATATGTAGGTACTAATTTATAATTAATAATTAATTTAATTTACTAATTTATGACTCTAATAGCAAAAAAATTCACGTTAGGTACCTACATGTGTACCTATACCTAATGTATAACGCTAGCTAGGTAACTTACATTGAAATGATCTTCGCAAATATTACTCCCGGAAATACTAGATAATGGTGCATTCTTGGTAGTATCTCTTTTCATTGCTTTGCACCATTTCCGTCGAACGTCTTCACGTTTTGGTAACGAAAAAAATATTTTATTTGGTGTTGAGCGCACAGAGTTTGTACACATTGGTACTACACAACTTCTCCGATATTTTCCTTTTTCAGCGGAAGTTCCAGCTGCATTCATTATATATTCGTTAACATCAACACACAACTTTATAACAAATGGTATACGAATACACCGCACCAAAGCAATGACAGCATATTCAATTCAAAAGAGAAGTGTTAGGCAACAACGCCAAAGGTTAAGCGTGGTCTGCTGGACGTTTCGTTCGCATTGTGACGTCACGCCAGTTTCAAACACTGATCTAAAAATAGAGGTCAGTGGTTTCAAACTTCAAAGCAATGGTGGCGGAGCCTGGCGCTAACTTAAAATCAAAAATCAAAGTGTCAAAGTTTAGTGAAACATGTATTGACCATTTTAACTTAAAATTTGATTTTGATCGTATCAAGATCTTGCCTATTACTACCACTTTTAAAATTTCAGATCATTTTTGTTTATCGCTGTACTTAAAATTTACTGCAACTTCTACAAAAACTAGTCAAACAGAACATGTCACACTTCACAAAATTATAGATCACAACAAAGTTAAGGCGTCTTTAGTAACTCATGATTGGGATTGTATAAACCATTTAAATTTAGACGATAGTTTTAAATATTTCTTGGATACCTTAAATAATTACATTAAGAATTTCACATATATTAAGCGCAAAAAACAACTTAAAAAGAAAAAGGAGTGGGTGACTAATGAAATTATTAGTTTGATGATAGACAGAGATCGTGCCTTTAAAAGCTATCTACAAGATAAAAGCAATACCAATCGTCATGATGGTATATAAAACATTACGGAACAATGTAAACAATCTAATTAAAAAAGCTAAAGAATCTTATTATACGAAGAAATTTTCAAAAAGTAGTTCTGCGAAGTCCTTATGGGAAATTACAAAGGAAGCTATAAATCTAGATAAAAGTAAAACCAATTATCACATGATAAAGGACGAAAATGGGAAAACGGTAAAGCTTGTTTCACAATTGACGCAAACGTAAACGCCAACGGAAACGCAAACGGTAACGTGAACGTGAACAAATTCGCAGTCTCACAATTAACGTTACGCTCCTGGAGTGTTAAGTTTTGTCACGGAATATTTTGTTTATTAAAATGTGTTCTGTGGTAGTCACAGACTATTCTATTCAATTCAACAAACGGATAATCATGCAATACTTCGTACAAAAATAGTTAAGTTTGGTCTTTAAAGGTTATGTGGCTGGATCGCAATTTAAAACGCCAACGGGAACGGGAAAGATAAAAGTTGACCAACTGTCGCGTTTGTTTCACGTTTTCACGTTCCCGTTGCGTTATATGTGAATGGAAATAGTAAATATTCATGTTTTAATTAAATGCTCACGTTCACGTTCGCGTTAGCGTTCACGTTGGCGTCAATTGTGAGACAGGCTTAATCGAAGAAATAGTTATGGCTGAAATGTTTAATGACTACCTACTTCATTAAGGTCCCGAAATTGTTAGCTGACAAGTTACAAAAATATGACTATCATAATCATAACATCACTCCAAATAAAAGTTCTATGTTTTTCCTACCAATTACTGCAAATGATGTTATGTCTTCAATCAATAAACTCAAAAAAAGTATCTACTTCTTCCGGCATAGATAACATAACATCACTGATGTTAAAAAATGTACTAACAGAAATAGCTCATCCTCTAACTGTACTGTTTAACCGTTGCATTCTTGATGGTTACTTCCCTACAATTCTAAAAACCGCAATAGTTAAACCTCTATTTAAAGGTGGTGATCCTTGTAATATTAGTAATTTTCGTCCGATTTCTTTAACGTCCTGTATATCGAAGGTATTTGAAAATATATTAAAACTTCAACTTGAATCATTCCTTCATCGTCACGAGGTATATTCTGACAATCAATATGGTTTTAGGACGGGAAGAGGAGTGGATGACGCACTTGCAAAGTTACTCTCTAATATTTATACGGCTGTGGACTCTTCACAACCCTCAATAGCTGTTTTTTTGGATCTTGCAAAGGCGTTCGACACGGTTTCACACTCCATCCTATTTGAAAAGTTGGAATTATACGGGATTCGTGGAGTGTGTTTGTCGTTACTGAAATGTTTTGTTGCGGATAGAGAGCAAGTGGTTGTAATCAATGGTACCCTAAGTAGTCCCAAACAAGTGGTAAGTGGAGTTCCCCAAGGTTCCATCCTAGGTCCCGTTCTGTTCTTATTATACATAAACGACATAATTAATTTACGTTTTGAACGAGCTACTATAGTCTCTTATGCGGACGACACTGTACTGTACGTGGTGGGAGATACTTGGGAACAAGTCAAACAATCCACATCGTGTTACTTGTCTGTACTCGTACGTTATCTAAACCAAAACTTGCTGTCTCTCAACTACACCAAAACTCTGTATATTCCCTTTCACTCTTACAAATCTCAAACAATAGATGATGACATAAAAATCCATGAATCAGATTGCTCTCAGATTAATTGTAGTTGTGCTCTAAGTATATCTCAAAGGGACCACATCAAATATCTTGGTGTTACCATTGACAAACACCTAAGATGGGACCATCATATTACACAACTTGTGATTAAACTAAGGAGATATGTCTATCTGTTTAGAAAGTTAAAACGGTTCTGCAATGAAAATTCATTAAAAATTGTTTATTACGGCTTTGTGCAATCTGTGCTGGGATATGGTTTGTTAGCGTGGGGTGGGGCAGCTCACAAATACTTAAATAAGTTAGAGGTGGCACAGAAGCTAATAATCAAAATTATGGCTAAAAAGCATGCACGTTACCCTTCTCAATTGTTATTCAAGGACACCAACCTTTTTACAATAAATCATCATATCTTCTCTCGGTATCTCGATTTATATATAAAAATATTAATAGGCTTAAGTTAAATTTTCCCCAACACAATTACGATACAAGGACAAAAATAAAGAATTTGGCGTATAATTTAAAAATACGGAAAAAAGTTGGTCAATCTTACTTCTTGTATTATACACAAAAGCTATATAATTACCTATTAATCTACACAAATTTGTCTTTCCCTTTAACAATTTCATATCATGCGTTTATCAAATTTATTAAAGAACTTCTCCACAATAATTTCTCCCATCTTAAATCACAGATTTATTTATTTTAACGGATACTCTACCCTAACTCTTTGTTTTTTATCACTCTCAACTTGTGATCGGTTCAAAAACCGTTATCTACGTACACCTTGGGGTGTAGTGACAACAAGTTTTTAACTTAGTCGTTACACCTAAGGACGCTACAAATGATATTTTAGTTATTTTCATTTTGGACATTTTTTTACATTTACATTTATACATAGTGTAACGGAAATGCTCCAGACATGACGTCGCCTTTGGCGCTCTGGAATTTTCTACGCGTATTCGAGAATGTTCGGGACTTACATTGCTTGCGTGTATAAATGGTTGCGGACCGAACATCGCGGCAGTCTACTACCGAACGAGTACGTAAACATCGAGCACGGAAAGATAAATTGCGAAGTGTGAGTGATATAAATAATCGATATAAATTTGTGAGTGATATAAATAATCGATATAAATTGTACGGATTTTATAGTGTTTTAGTTCTGTTTAATAAATATTGATATAAATCGAACCCGAATTTATAAATAACGTTACAATAGGTTATAGGTTTCTGTTACAACAAGAATGTAAATAAATGGTTATTATTATTATTATTATTATTATTATTATAAAAATATATGCATATCATAAACATAATAGACGGAAATAATCGTAAGAAATACTGTCGCATTTCCAAACTGGTGTTGTACTTTTTTCTACTCATTACAACGACTGGTTGTTTACGAAAAACGATTTTTCTATTCATCGATCTTCCTAAAAAACCAAGACCGCTTTTTAACTTTTTTTAAGTACCTACCGACAGTTCTTTTCAACATTGCAAAGAATATCCACTATCGAGAACTTATTAAACTGCAACTGCAAAGTAGCATTTCATTAGAAAGTTTGCTATTTTTTCCAATATGGATTATGGCGGATTGACTACGAACTATTTTTCACTAACGCTACCATAATTTATTTACTCTATGACGCTACAGAGGAGCTTGATTACCGATAGGATAGGCAACCCATCTCTCGTGTGCTCCAGAATGTCGCTTGTCTCATTAAAAATAACTCGGCATACTAAAAAATTTCCACTGCATATATTTTTGAAATGAAGATGGTGCATTTAGTTCTATTGCCAAGGATGCATATGATCAATTTAATTTTTAAAGTTGTATTTTTTAAATCCCGTTCGGCAAGGGTAAAGGCATGCGCTTTAGCTTTTACGGAGTCGAGTTAGAATTTAGATGCTAGTCTCTAACCTCAAATATGTAACAAAATGATAACCATCGAATTTCTAAACTCCATTATCTTTGTTTAGTTATTTAACCAAGCCAACTATTACAATTTTATTCTCTCTTATTCGATTACCAGTGATATGGGTTTATCTCAATTGGGAAATAAAGTCCACACTATCAAATTGGTGGTTTATCATGATGTATTAAAATGATGATACATTTCGTAACGAAACTGCAGGCCTTCTTCACTTTATTAATAATCATACTGTTATGTAAATAAACTACTGACCATAATGTACTATGATGATCGAAAACAATTACTTTTAGGTACGAGTATATACATTACGATTAATAATACGAAAGCGGCAGATAAAAGAGATCTTGATAACACTGTCGAAAAGACCTACCTTTTAAAGAAAGAGTTAGAGGATGCGGCTGTACGTATTATGGAATTGGAACAGAAGCTCGAAAGCTTAGAGTCGAGGGTACCAAGGAAGTATGCAGAAGTGACGTTCTTAAATTATTTGAAGAAAAAGCGTATTTTGGTAAGAATTCGGTTGCCTCTTTGAGTTGTCAGTATCTTACATCATAGTCACCTTAGACTCGGTATTAATTTGAAGGATGTTGGTGGGGTGACGGTTGTAAGCTACCTGGGATTACTTTTACTCATACTGGATTCTCTTAATTTTTCACAAAGAATACAGTGTGCCTTCATTGTGATGTATCTTGTATCCTCTGTGGGAGGCAATGAACATACTTGTTATTTGTTCATTGCATTTGTGCCATAGTGTGCTTTTGTTCTATAGTTGATCTCAAGGTAGGTGATGAAATTTCGAGTGAAATTTGTTCTAGTAGGTGGTGACCGAAGGGGAAATCCATGGCCCTGGTTTGCTTGTTTAGTGCCTGATGCAATCTGGTGGCACTAAAAAATGCCTTACATATTAGAATACAATAATAAATTATTGATGAGGAGATTCAGCATTTTCATTTTAGAAAATCAGACGCTCATAGTATTTACACAACTAGCATCACCATAAGCATAGCTCATCTTTTCATTAATAGAGGACACTTGGACATATCCTCTTGCACTGAAAAATTGTGATATGAGCTTTCTTTGCAAATGGATATAGACCGAGAGCCCGCGTAGAAAATACATCGTCATGGGTACAAAAGGTTTGATGTAACTAAGCAGTAGAATGTCACAGTGCGATTCCAAAATCGCCCGTCTGCCGGCCGGCGGCGGTCAACTTAGCGCGGGGGCGAATTTTGAAAACTGCTCCAAATCACATAATACATCGTCATTGGTACATGTATGATTTTTTGCAATCTGATCCGGAAATATGTACCCAATTCGTAGTTGCAACGGCAGACGATGTATCTGGGCAACTTTTCCGAGCAGACGCGATTAAAAACATTAAAATATTATTAAATACCTCGTCATAAGGTACACGCTCGAATTATAGCTTAAAATAAAGCTCTTTGAATGTAGAATTTGGGAAAACTAACGAAAACGCGGCAGAAGGTCGCATAACTATAGCAGACGCCTTTGAAATTTATAGCTCGATCTGCGTTTAACGCATTACTCCCCGTGCGATAAAGCGAGAGCGCTGTCACACAAGCACGCTCTGTCGTATAGGTACTTGTAAAAACGGAACTACAGCTGAAAGTAGGTAAAATGCCACAAATAATGGGATTTATGAAATTTTCTCAACTGTCACAAAACATGACCAAAAATATTAAAACATATATTTCTACACTAGGTATACATGTAGGTAAATGCAGTATTAATATGTAAATAACGACTAACACAAGCTACAAAACGTTATATAAAAAAGTATTTGGAATGCAAATATAGAATATAGAAAACGAATACTTATCTCATCACCAAAACTAGCAACAAAACAACAAAAAAGAAGAAAATTCATATCTGGGATAGGTATTCTGAAAAATAAATATAGTTCTTATTAATACTATAATACACATGTATTTGGGAATACTTAATCATATTTCCTTGCATCAAGAACTTCCCTACATTTTTTTAAAGTTTGGTCCGTGAATAATTTCACCACTGGATCCCCATTATTTATAGTATTGGTGACGTGAATGCAGCACTTCTGCATTACAAGGTCTGTTTCTGACTCCATTTCAAAATTGTTGACTGCAGATAGAAAAATAATTGATGTTGCAATGTTGGCTTTGTCACAGTCTTTTCAATATACAGGGTGGTGACTTGCGTCACGCATCATAGGAATTTCAATGTAAAATTCATAACATGCGATTATTGGCTCCCCAAATTATTTTAGAGCAAAAATGTATTAAGATTTTTTGTAGAAAAAAATTTTTAACGTCAATAAACCGTATTAGTTTTCAATTTTTTACATAATAAAGACGGAAAATTAGAAAAATAAAACCCGCATCTTTTTCAATAATCTGCGATGCCATGGAATTTTCTAAAACAAAAAGATGTCCAGTTATCAATTAGCAGCAGTTCGAAATGGATTTTATGATCGACTTGGTTACTGTCTTGCAGTTAATGGTGACTTATTCGAACATTTATTGTATTAGGAAACCGTTTTTAGTAATTTGGTCTTTCTTTATGTTGAATTCGCTGTTGTAAATATAATACTTTTTGATAGAATTTGATTTGTTTTATAGCAGACATTCCATGGCATGACGGATATTGTAGTTTTTGTATTATAAAACTTCATGGCATCACAGATTATTGAAAAAGATGCGGGGGTTATTTTCCCAATTTTCTGTCTTCATTATGTAAAAAATTGGAAACTAACGCTGTTGATTGACGTAAAAAATTGTTGTCTATAAAAAACCTTAATACATTTTTGCTCTAAAATAATTTGGGGAGCCAATAATCGCATGTTATGAATTTTACATTGAAATCCCTATGATGCGCGACGCAAGTCACCACCCTGTATAGGTACAAGTAGGTACAAGTTATTCTCAAGTTACATTACATTATGTACATATATCTAACTTTTTAATGATACGAAGTGCAGTACATATCTTATACGTATTCTTTGCTTATACCTATATAATGTAGCTTGAGATTGAGATGATTTTAATGGATGGATGGAGCAGGTGATAGCGCTCTCGCTTTATCGCACGGGGAGTAATGCGTTAAACGCAGATCGAGCTATAAATTTCAAAGGCGTCTGCTATAGTTATGCGACCGTCTGCCGCGTTTTCGTTAGTTTTCCCAAATTCTACATTCAAAAAGCTTTATTTTAAGCTATAATTCGAGCGTGTACCTTATGACGAGGTATTTAATAATTTTTTAATGTTTTTAATCGCGTCTGCTCGGAAAAGTTGCCCAGATACATCGTCTGCCGTTGCAATTACGAATTGGGTACATATTTCCGGATCAGATTGCAAAAAATCATACGTGTACCAATGACGATGTATATGTGATTTCGAACAGTTTTCAAAATTCGCCCCTGCGCTAAGTTGACCGCCGCCGGCCGGCAGACGGGCGATTTTGGAATCACACGGTGACATTCTACTGCCTAGTTACATCAAACCTTTTGTACCCATGACGATGTATTTTCTACGCGGGCTCTCGGTCTAATACAAGCATGGCCAGATTGCGCAATGTCAACTTCCTTTCTTCTAGAGATTAAAAAAAAATTTAACTAGATGTTTTCTAATGGGCGATCAAAAAAGGATTGACGTCGAGTCGCTTTTGGAAGTTGGTTAATTATGATTTTTCATGTAAACAAAAATTCCAAAGGTGACTCAACAGTAACTGTTTTTTGATTGCATAGTAGTAAAGGGAAACATGTCGCAAATATTAGAAGTGAAATGTACACATAAACCCCACTTTTGTATTTTTGGAGATATTTATCTGAAAATTTATACATAGGTGCTCCTGATAAAGACAAACATTGCATAAATTACATATGTCAACTTTCTTATTTACAGATATTTTTTTTGGAATTTTACTTATCACTGCTTCTACTAAAAAATGGAATTCCAATCCGCGCATGCGTTGACTCCCTAATGCCAAGATACCAAGTTTTTTTTTAAGTTGTACAGATGCTTCTAACAAAGACAAACGTAGTGCCCATGGTGCAACTCATACAGTGCGTTTATCTTAAACTGGACCATACAATTTTGCATGCAATGTTATTTTTCTATTTCGGTGTCACAATGATGATTTTGTACAGTTGTACAAGGACAGTGATTATAGTCGTTTTTTTTTGTAACTCATTGGCAGTTACTATTTAGTACAAGTAGGTACTTCGTTGGGTACTTCCATGTTTGAACTTCAAAATGTCAGTCTTATTACGCTGCCAACCTAAAACTTAACGGCGTAAAAAGTGTTCCCAACATAAAACATGTTAGTTCTAATGTTCCCTATAGTTTCTGATAATGATTTTTTTAATTAAATTAAAGCACCGAAATAGAAAAATAGTATGAAAAACGCGTGTTACAATGCTTTATTGTAATACTCCTATCTTGCGGACACTCGTGGCTACGCTTCGCGTCGCCACTCGTGCCACAAGATAGTCGTATTACAATAGGTCGGTGTTATTCTGGTGCATCTTGAAATAGTTACGATATTGAAAAGTAAACAAGAATTGAAAAGTTTCCCAATTTGATCTCGGTTTCGTATTCTTGTGACACATGTCATTGTAAAAGTTTACAATATTGAGAACTTAATATTGAAATCTTAGCAAGTACGGATTATCCTTGCTAGCCATTTTTCAAGTTAATTTAAAGGTTAGGGTTCGTTTCCAATATGAATGATCCTGAATTTATTTTATTAATAGATGTATTACAACATGTGGAACAAATGTATGTCGTATTAATTTATTTTGACAATCATTAAAATTATTGCAATTTGAAGCAATGAACAACGTTTCTATATTTAGGCGTCCTTATGGGTAGGGAGTATCTGTTCTTATGGGAACATCCAGTGAGGCTACCGCTCCATCACATCTTGTATTTTACTTCGTCAACCTGAAAGTAAATGGTTGAACAACATGCTTTACAAAATACCTGAATTATGATAACATATTGTATTTTCCCACGTTTCAACTGCAATTGAAATCGGCTTTCGTGCACTTCATTTACCCCTATTTCAGGTACTGTAGAAATCCCATGCCACTACCACTGTGCCGGTTGCCCTTAATAACCTTATTTGCGCAGAGGCATTTAGTGCTTTATTTTCCCGTTGCTTTTCTTGCGAGTTTGCGATTTTCCACTCAGGTGAACACCTGTAGTTCAGAAAATATAATTAACAATTTGTGATATTAAAGTAGAGTAAAATACCTTCTTCCATCCTTCAACTTCTCTTAGTGGCGTCCATCATCCACATGCATTTAGCTCCTCTGCTAGTTGCAGCCACAAAGAATGAAGATCCTCTGGGCCCAAGTTAGGAGAAAGTTTTCCAGTTCTTAACAAACAATTTTTTTCTAAGTATAAATAGTATATTGTGATTTCGATGTCCTTGCTTTTTTTAAAAACATTGTCAACTACACGTAACACCACGTCATACCAAACAGCTGATTAATTGTACTTACGCACGCGCACATTATTCACATTTGTGGGTTGGCTACACTGTGTTACAACTTCATGGTTGTTAACTTTTCAATCTTGTAAACCGTAAACATACGATTACAAGGTGAGCACGAGAATACAAATAATTTCCAATATTGTAAAACTCACTTGAAAACTTTCTTGAAAAGGTTTCAATATTGAAAAGTTTTCAAGATACACGAGAATAGGACTGATTGTAACACTTGTCTCAATATACTATTCCCTATGTTCCATTAAAAAAAAACACTTCAACTTGAGTAGTTCAAATGGGTAGTGCAATGTACAACTGTCACCTTCAAATCTACCAACCTGCAGATAAATTTCAAAAATACTGTCTAAATAGATGAAAAGATGAAATTATAAATTTTTACAAAGGTCACAACAGCGCAAGTCAAGTCCGCGATTTGCTTGCAGTCCAGTATCTTGATGAACCAATACCTTCCATTTCAACGTACATAACCTAAAAATAATTAAAGGCTGGTTCAGTTGTGACTCGCACATTATTTAATACGTGTGTATAGTTGTGAACCGCACATATCCTATAGGTGAATGCGTTTTTTTTAAATAGAACATAGGTAAACACTATTGCATGCAAAATCGTATGTTCCAATGTAAGATAAGCACACTGTATATGTACGTACATACGCAGTGTCAACTTTCCTATTTATGAAGATATTCAATTGAGATATTAATTACGCTCTAATCATAAAGATGCTTGTGTCTTGCTTGTGCCCATAACACTTTTCGGGAAGTACTGACCTGTGCATGGAAAATGCGCTAAATTTACTCGCTTCATTTATTTACAGTTTCAACCAAGAGACTTAATTTAATAACAGTTGAGATTTAAATTAGACTAATACAGTTTGTATTAGAACAGAAAAGAAAAAATAACAATAGTATTCGAAAAACAAAAGTAGTTTTAATGTGTAAATTGATTAATTTAGTATGTAATATTAAAATATTACTGAAAACGCGTAATATTTCATTGTTGTCCAAAAAAGTTTGAATTCGATATTTTCATGTTATATTGTAACGTAAATGAAATGAATTATTTATTTATAATTAACTAACAATAAATTTATAAGTCTTTCATTGGATTAATTTATAACAGTAATTATTATTTATCACTTACAATTTATAACATAACATGTTTGAAGTAACTCGAAACGCAATTCGATTTGCTTATATAGCAAAATCCCACCTTTCTCGAAAGTGCTCGAATGCTCTCGAAGATTCTAGCAAACACGTTCCTGGAAAGAATGCGTCATATCCGCTCGCGTTTCTGATCTCCGATGACTAATCCCTTATGGCGCCCTAATATCTATCGGGATTTCTAAAATATTCGCTCCAATATTTATATTGGAAGGTCCTCTTTATTTATACCTCTCTCATGGATATGCGCCATTGTGAGATATAGGTCATATCCATATAGGAAGATGCGATACTATCCGCGACACTCGAGTCTCAAAGGCGCTGTGTTAATTAAAGGTCGACCTACACCTTTTTTTTTTTATTAAGTGCGCTGAAAATCATCATCAGAACTTGCAATTAACGAGATACCGTTTGAATTCCACAAGGAGAAGTCCTCATAACGTTAAGATTATGCAAGTTTGTATTGTCGTTTGTGCTGTTTGATTAACATTAAATTTGTTTCGGCAGGGAGTAATAATTTTTATATCAATCTGAACTCCGCCGTTTGGGTACTTAGTGAGTAGTTGGTAAAAATAGGTGTATTACTATATTATTTATTTACATAATTTTAGATTTAAGGTTTTTGTCACGTGTGTTTACGAACTCGGTAAATTTAGAGTCTTGTGTCATTTGGGCAAGCCGACTATGGTCGTCGTACGTTAAAGAAGCAAACTGCACCCTCTTGCACCACCCCAGGAGAAGTGTTCTTCATTTGCTTAAGGGGTTTCGAAGAAGGGTGTCAGTTTCAGGTTTAAAGATATTTACGGAAAAATTATTTCTCCTCAATGGCAGCCCAGTGGCGGAGTACATCGCAAGAGTGCATGGAAGCTTATATTGGGCACGATATTTTCCACTCAATTATTCACGAAAAGCCGATTCATTGCAAATTACACTGATCACAAATCACATTTTTCAGAAGGTGTGAAAATCAAACGCTATTAATTATTGTAGCGTGAAGCTGAAGTTACCTATTCGAAGTATGCCAAAGAATGACGTATATACCTCCTATTTTTTGTTGTTTACAAATAAAGACCTTGGAAATATACGTTAGACGATAATTTCTTAAATTATTCTTATTGATGATTGCATAATTGTACTGGTCACATTTGACATTTTTGAAGGTACCTGCCGTGATAAAAGGTGTCGTTTTAAACCATCCTTGCTCTTTAAGGTGTAATTACATTGATTGCAAATAAAATTTTTGCAAGTGTATTTACTTTTACAGCAGTAAACATTACAATACTGTTTACTTTTGGCATTGTAAAAAAAATGACGGTCTTCTCCCACCTCTGTGTTAATTACAATGTGCTGCCGCCAGAGGTCTCACTGTTAATTTGAATCGCATGTATGTAAAAAAAATTGGGTAGTAGAAATCAAAAGCAAGCACTTTTTCCAAATAAACCGAGGGTCCAACGTGTTTCGTTTGGGAGCCACCCTCAAAAAAGTGATGAAATTTGCATTTTTTTCTCAGCAACCATTACCAAGACTGGTTGTACGTCTTTGAATATCTGGGGAGTTTTGAACATGAAAATCTCGAATCTGAAATTAGTTCTTGAAAATTCAAACAAAAATCCGCTGCAATTCTTGGTTGCATAACGAAAATGGACAGAATTCCACGAAATTGTTTGTGTACAGACTTGATGAGTTAATGAACAAAATTGTCAGAACAGTATTTTTAAATCATTTTTCAAACAAAAGTTATTATTTGAAGATTGGTTCTTCAGGTCACAAAGTATCCCCCGCCTACTAGTGAGTCATTTAATTTTGTATGTAGTTAGTTGAAAACTTGAAAATGTCGCAAATACCAAAAAAATAACGATTTAAGTCGATATTACCCTGTATAAATTGAATAATGCAAACTCGCCTTATATATCAAGAAATATTATTTCTTTGCAGATAACTGGTGGTGCAGGATTTGTTGGATCTCATCTTGTCGACACCTTAATGCTACAGGGCCACGAAGTGATTGTAGCCGACAACTTTTTTACAGGTAGAAAACAGAATGTGGAACAGTGGATCGGTCATGAAAATTTTGAGTTGATACACCATGACATTGTAAACCCATTGTTCATAGAAGTTGACCAAATATACCATTTGGCGAGTCCCGCCAGTCCACCTCACTACATGCAGAATCCTGTGAAAACGATCAAAACAAATACATTAGGAACTATAAATATGCTAGGTGAAAATGTTCGCTTCGTAATCCGGTTAAATAATTGTCTTGTAGGACTGGCGAGAAGGGTAAATGCGACCATACTAATCGCGAGTACGTCCGAGGTATATGGCGATCCCGACAAGCATCCCCAAGAGGAATCGTATTGGGGACATGTAAATCCCATTGGTAGGTATTGGACTGGAGGCAAATGGGCGTAGAGGAAATGGGGAATGCCTTAAGAGTAGTTTAAGACAGAAAAAATGTCAGGTTTCTAGACCAGAGGTTGTAGCTGATCGGGCACATCTAGAAAAATGGCGATGTTGTAATATTATTTTCATTTTCCAGAATTTATTGCTTTTCGCTTTTTCTTCTTAGTTACTGGTCATTTACTATTTGCCGAGCTATTTGCGTTTTAAAAGTTACTAGAAATTGCTCTCACTAAGAAATTTATTTCACTTCAGTAATGGACTTTGATCCCATACTCAGCTCATTAAAAATCGTTATTTTTGGAAAATTTTCCCAAATGCGGAGAATGCTATTGACCTGCAATTTTGATGTAAGATAAGTTACTGGAACTACTGTGTGTTTAACGAGAAAATTCACTATGTCCAAGATAAGGACGCCAGAAAAACCGAAATATGCTGTTTTTATTATTTTCTGATGTTATTTCAACAGATCCAAAGAATTAAAAAACACTTTCTCGTTGCCACTATTTGAGCGTTACAAGATAGCATTGAGAGATTGTCAATACAATGTTTCATTTCGTTATCAGCTTTTTTTTATATGGTTCCTAAAAAAAAGTATATACTAGCTGTATTGAGTTGAACATGTAATACTAATAATTCTTTATAATAACTTTCAGTGCAAACAGTGAGGGTACAGTAAGACTTCACAAGACGCACAAGCAAAGATGAAAGTTGAAAGTTTTTAGTGTCACTTAAATAGAACTTATAACTCAAATAATAAGAGCAGCACTACACTTTCCGGCGGTGACAACTTTTTGCCTAGGAACCTTGCAATATTTTTCACTAATCCTACCTTTTAAACCCTCCGCAAGTGAAATATTTTCATCATTAATGGAACACAGAACACCTTTTGTCTTTGAAACTATACATTGAGGTAAATGTCAAGTGTTGTCTGTCTAAATTTAGTTGGTTTAGGACCAAGGGCATGTTACGACGAAGGGAAAAGAGTGTCAGAAACGTTAACGTATGCATACGCAAAACAGGAGAATATGCAAGTGCGAGTTGCGAGAATATTTAACACCTACGGACCAAGAATGCACATGAATGACGGAAGAGTCGTTTCCAACTTCATCCTTCAGGCATTGCAAGATCACGAAATTACTGTAAGATCTTTTAATTAGTGCATCCGTGTTTGATGTTTCATTCAAGGTTTACGGATATGGCAACCAAACAAGATCATTTCAGTATGTGTCAGATTTAGTTGATGGACTGATGGCGTTAATGGAATCAAATTACACCTTACCTGTTAATATAGGTAATCCAGTTGAGCATACAATCAACGGTAGGTAACCTCCACCCGCCTCATCTTTACAGTTCTCTAATTACATGCCTTTTAATTACAGAATTTGCAACAATAATAAAAGAATTGGTTGGCGGCAATAGTGAAATAAAACATGTCGCCCAAGTTGAGGACGATCCCCAACGACGCAGGCCTGATATCTCGAGAGCGAAAAAATTTTTGAACTGGGAACCAAAAGTCTCTCTAAATATAGGACTTCATAAGACTGTCAATTACTTCAAGAAAGAACTGAAACTGTTCAAACTGGTGCATTGGAATTCTCCGCGTGATGCATTGTGATTGGTTGGAAACTATTGAGTTTACCTATTTATGAATATTATCTTATGGCTTATTTCTGGTAGAACTAAGTGTTGATTATGTTAAATTTTATTGTGTATTATATGTCGATATTATTGTTTGTGTCGTTTTTAAGGTTTGTATTAAATGTCCTCACACACAAGAAGTGAACACTAACAAGTATGCTATTTTCTTTTGCAACGACCACAGTGAAGAGGCAGTCAAAAAATGTAATTCTGTTCGAACTTCAATATATTGACAATTTGACACCTTTGTTTTGAACAACAATTTGGAAGAGACTGCACCTAAGCAATAATTAGTCTTGGTGGTCTAGTTTAGGAATAGGAAAATTCGGCGATTTGTCTTTGGTAGCTTTTCGGAGTTCTTGTTTGTGGTAAAAATGTGGTTTCTATAATCCTGAAAGTCGAGGTTTATGATATTGACTACTGTTTAAATGATTTAATAAGTTAGGTGACAAAGCATGATTTTTGGCTCTACAGGAAAAAATCCGGTGCTTCTAAAAACAGCACTCTAATGGTAGATCCTTCAGAACGTTTGCCTAAGTTGCCTAGTTTAAAAAAAACACTCCTGCATTACAGTCTTGGTTGCATCAAAAGTAAAGGCATGTACTCACCCCACTGCGACAAAAATGGCTAAAAATCCAACATTACCCCAATAAACAAGTCTGAGACTCGCTTATTTGTTGAGATATTGGGTTGCGTTTTTTTTGTTAGACAGAGGAAGGATGAGTCCGTGAAGTTCAAAATTTGGGTCACCTGGCACTTCCGGTTCCTAGGGTCGTGGAATTCTTCGGCAAAGAGAAAGCTGCCGGTGTGTAGATATTTCCTTTGGGAAAGGGTGCAGAGCTAACTGCTGCTGCGACCGGCAAACCAACAAAATTCATAACCAAGATTAGGTAATGTGCATTTCATTAATATTCCTCTGAAATAAATACTAATTGTTATATCCTGTAGATCAAGTCAAACTTGCCGATGATAGGAGATGGAAATTTCCATCAAAGAAGCAACGAAGTGCAACTTCCTACAAAATAACATTGGATAATTTTGATTTAGGCGTCTTGAAGAATGAAATTTACATGATCCATAACAAAGTCTCTACAATCAATAATTTAGGTAATAAAATGAAGAAGAAAATTGGCTGCATTGGAGGTAATGATCACATTTTTTGACGAAACCTACATCCATCCATTTTATGAAGTGCTTGCTAACAGAAGATGAACCTGGTGTATATAAAACTGACTGAAGCAGGATAAAATAAATTGGAATGAATTGAAAATGCACATCTCATCATCAAATCTAAAAGTATAAGTCTGGATACGACATAATCCACATTAAGAAATTGGAAACGCCATGGATTGTTAGATGAAGCTGTAGAAAGTTTATCTTTCACGCTAATCACGGGCACATCAGGCGAAGGTTCTGAAATCAGTGAAGAGGAAAGTGACGACGATACTGTTTAATTAGTTTTAAATACACACTGCTTTGTCATTAGTAGTACTTAGGTAACTATTTTGTAATTTTGGGTTGTAATTCTTGTACCTACTAAATTTCTTTTTCCAGTTTTCAAACGTAGTTACATTAAAAAAATGCCAAAATAGAACAAGTTTAAATTTCCCGCCAAACACTATTGACACGGACTGTATTTCTAAAATACAGCGACACCAAACCATCGCCTTCTTGACGGACTTGTTTGCTTGGCTTGGCTGTAGGTTGCCTAGTTAAATCACGAGCTTATGTTAAATATAATGTGGCGAATAGCGCACATTTGAATACTCCCGCCAGTAAATGTGTAACAGGAAATAACTGGTGACGACACTGCAGGAAAAAGCCAAGCGTAGGTGGCGCAAGAAAGAAACTGGTTAGTGGTTGGCGTTGGCGGTTGGCGCCATTTCACTGGTAGCTTGCGACGGACATGCACGTGTCGCAAGTACAGCAGGCTAACCATTTTTACCATTCTTTAGTGGTTAAATAAAGTTTAGTAGTCAACTCGCGGGTTTTAAATTGGTAACGCGGCAGGCTTACCACAATAATATTAACTTTAACTAACCTTTTTTTATGAACTCCCCCGAATTGTTATTTATAAAAATTGTGCGTTAATCAAGAAAACACTACAAGAGGAATTGGAAAAATATAGGTTGCCTAGGATGCAAACAATTCAGAAAGATCGTGGAAGCTTGTTCCATTGATTAGTAAATAATATTAATTTATTAAATATATCTTTGACGTGACGTATTAAATAACACATGGAAAACAACAAACTGCAACGACACAGTGCTCTCTCGACCAAATGTCAAGTCATATGGTTGTAGCCTTAGATCATAAATATTGTAATGATCCTAGTGGTCTCCCAAGGCGACACTGAAAATGTTGACTTATCCTATACTTACCAACCATTGGCAACTCTGGGAAAAAAAACGAGCAGAGCATATATACTATAAGAGATTAAGAGAAGTACCTATATATGGAGCAGAGGCACCGTACTTTTCAAGTCAAAATGATCACGAAGTACGAACGTTCCGTGGCACTTTTGAATCTCGGTAGTAGTCGGTCCGATATGGCGCGAATATTCATAGGACAAATATTCCGGGGAAGAGAAAAGAGAACTCGAGCAATTATGCCAAGATCTCAAGCTATAGAGTAAGGTGTACAGCTCTTCTAAACGTGAATATGCATTGGACTCAGAGCTGGGCAGAATACTTTCAAAAAGTATTTGAATACTAAATACTTTTACGTCCAGCACAAAGCGAATACTAAATACAGATACTTTGAAAAGTATTCAAATACCCTCAGAAATAAGTATTCAAATACTATAGAATGTATTCGAATACTTTCAAAAGTATTCGAATACACTTTTGTAAGTATTCGAATACATTCTAAATCAAATACTTTTCAATTTTTTATCGAATACTATAAAAAGTATTCGAATACAGTAAATAATATTCAAATACTTGTCACTCAAATACATTAAAAATTTAAAATAGTATACTAAATAAAAGTCTTAATACTACTTAAAAACTGTCAGTTATACTTTGTATGGGGTTAGCTTTTTTTATATATTTCTATTGTTATATACAAATTTAAGGGGAGTAAAAGCGTATTATTATATTTATATTATTATATAGGAGATACCTACCAGGACCTTTATTATATCAGTTACCTATATCCTTAAGAATACGTGTACCAGTTTTCAAAGCGATCGTACGTCGCGCACATGCTACGTACGCCTTTCTGAAATTAAGCCTAGCGATTTTGAAACAGATCCTTTTTTGTCTGTTCGTCTGTCCGTGTGCATGATAACTTGTTTAGAAACGTGCGATCGCTTTGAAAACTGGTACACATGGTCTTAAGGATATAAGAAAGGTCCCTATTGTTTTTAAGTTACGTAGACTATCGCGTCAAAAAGTTTCACTCCAGGATCGTTCGGTATTCAGATGTATCGGATTTTTATATTTGACTTTGTGAAAATGGAAACTTCCCCTAAACATTTCTAAATAGTTCTCAAATATTTGAATAACTTAAAAGTATTCAAATACTATGCGAAGTATTCGAATACTTCTCAAAGTATTCAAATACCTTGCCAAGTATTCGAATACTTTGCGAAGTATTCGAATACTAAATATATGTGCGAAAGTAATGTATTTGAGTTACAAATACTGCTTACATAAAAGTATTTAATTACAAAGTATTTGAATACTTTAAAGTATATGAATACTAAAAAGTATTTACAAAATCGAATACTGCCCAGCTCTGATTGGATTAAATTCCTGGTGAGCGAATATTGCGGTGGACGCGAATCTTCCTCGAGGGCTAAAATTCTGGAGACGAATTTGACCGTGGGCAATGTTTTCGGGGATAAGGCGAGTTTTCATAAGACCGAATTTTCAGAGGCGAATTTGGTCACAGAAATAGAAGGGAACCTAAGAATTGGGTGGCACTTATATCGAGGGCGCGTTTTTTTTTTAAATGGTCATTTCGTAGTGCATCGTGAGGGTTAGTTCAGATCCTTTCATGGGGACAATCTTCCGGAGGCTGAATTTACCTGGTCGAATTTTAACTCTATCATAGAATTTAGTAGATACATAGCGGCTTTTTTTTTGGCTCCATGAATTAATTTTTGGGAATTTCAAAAAAAGTTTAACTGCTTCGTCAATTGTAATTCTTTCGAAACTTTTCTTCAACGTTATAGACCTATCTTGTCACAAATACAATTATTTAGGTCTAATTAACCAAATTTGAGCTTATAAAGACCTACAACTGTAAAGCTATATTGCACCTATGGGCTAATATAATTAGTAAAGAAACTTTCGAATCTTGGAAAATGCCATTAAATGAGACATACCGGTTTGAAATGTAGTAGGTACGTATATTAAATTACGGGTTAAGGTCACAAAATGAAATGTGGAGGGCAGTGTTAGCATTGAATAAGTAATCATTTACTTATTCAATGGTGTTAGTTAACACAAAAGAGGTATCAGAAGAAGTTATTTCCCGTTGACACAAGTAGGTACCAGAGTGCATTTTCTGAGTTTTCAGTTGTTTGAATGAGGCAAAATTTCTTCTCTTTTTAGCGCATTTTTGCAAATTTATTTGTAAAAAGTAGCTTTTAATCTCACTTTTGGCTGGCTGGCTGGCTGGCTGGCTGGCTGGCAGCAAATGTGGGCGCGTAGAAGAACTCTTGTAGAAAGGCAACGGGTGTACGTGTATCTACGGGGCCGTGAAATTTGTCAACCTTAGGGACATGGCTACATGATGTGGGGTTGGCGACATCTGGGCGTCATCCTCGAGCGTAGTATACTAACGTGAAGGTTTTTCAGTTTTTTCCTATCTTCTACTACAGTTTTGGTCCGATTCTTTTGAAATTGGTGTCGTCGGAAAGATGTTGTAAACGCGCACAACTCCTGCGTGGCGGAATTTTGTTTTTTGTCATAGGGGCAAAATTAACGACCTTTTGCGAGACGCGCGCGCGCGTCTTCGAGAAGTAATCAACTTCGGGCGCCTTTTACCTTCCGTTGCGAACTCACGCGGTTTAACGTTTCGTAAATCTCGAATCGCTGTCTCTCTTTCTCGTGCCGCCAATAGAAGTGAATTGCGAGTGAACGGGACGTCGGAAGATGGGTACCGTCAAAGGGAATGTGGTAGCCCGCGACACGATCTTACTGATGGTGGAGTCAAATCTTCAAACGCGAATTGGGGGTGAACGGGACGTCGGAAGGGGGTACCGTCAAAGGGAATGTGGTAGCCCCCGACACGATCTTACTGATGGTGGAGTCAAAACTTTAAAAGCGAATTGCGGGTGCACGCGGAAAGTGGGAAGCGGTTAGTGAATGTAGTAGCCTTTGACAAGATCTGTTATTGATGGTTGAGTCGAAAGTGGCTAATAGAATACTGATCTGCCACACAAAAATGCGCTGAAGTCCCTTCGATCTCAAACGAGGACTTTGATAATTTTTTTAATCAACAATTAAAGTAAAACTCAGATTCAGGAAGTGTGTAGGGTCGTGCACATACATATACATATTATATGTTAGTGGTTTCATATGTAATCACCACTAAACAAAACAAAAAGAAACGAGTCTAACTTTATATTTTACAGGAATAAATTGCCAATGTTTATCTGCCGAAAGCCAACGGTGTTATATCTTAAAACTATACCGCTGATGGTTTTCATCCCGGCAAAAGGAATGACAAAAAATCGCCCGGCACCTGCTTTGTCGAGGTGACGTGATTTGTATTAATTTCATGTCAAAGTCATTGGTCACGCCCGACCAGCTGGTCGAGGGTTGTTAGTTCTGTGGGTTAATGTCGCCACAGCACCCCCCTACCGGTGTAACCTTATATCTAAATTGAACCGTAAGATGTGTTTAATCTGCTTTTGTACTAACTTGATTTATTTGTTTAGCATTTGTGTTTATTATGCCACATACCTATGCATCTCCTGTAGGTAATTAATTTGTGTAACTGAATTTGATTCAATATCTGATTTTTAATGTACCTACGATTTTGAGATTTTCTTTATTTTCTTACTCATAAAACCCTTCTTTTTGTTCAATTCCCTTCCCGATTATGTTTCACATAAAAAGAATCGACATATCATACACAACGTAGAAGTTCTGTTCTTACCACCCTGTCCAAACTGATTTGAAAGTGGTGCGAATGTCCAACATTTCGACGTAAAAGTTAGGTGCTTGTAATATTTATCGAAATTTCATTAAAATACAATTAGTCAATTGCAGTTGACGTGGAAAATCACATTTAGACATATTAGAGATCGGTAGCTAATAGTTTGTATCTTCGAAGGCTCTTTTAAGGTTTCAATTAAAAATGTGTGAAAAAAATAAAAAAATTATTACAAAAATTACAATCATGTTCATATTATCTTACAAGTGAACATAAAAATCCATATTTTTTAAAGTTTTAATGTAATAATACAAATTTCAGGATAAATTTATTATAATTTATTATATTAATTTAAAGCATTACAATTCGTATGCAGTATTAATTCTATGTTATAATATGAATCATAACTGAAATTGTGTAAATCGGTAAGTCTCTCCTTAAAACACAGTGCGTGGGTAATTTTCGAAATTAGTTCTGGGAACCGAATACACATTATATCGGAATCGGGTTCTTCATTATCATTTTAATGTGGTATACATTCCATAAATAGCGTGATATAGCTAGACATTTTGCGAGGCAAGTGATTCTATTCAACTAATCTTCGACTGCTGCTTTATATACTTAGTACGAAAGCGCCACAGTCGTCTAAGAACCGATGGATAGGCCAGTGGCAATGCGCATGCTTTCCCAAGAATTGCAGCAGAAGGCAATTCTGGAATTAAACGAAAATCCAGAGAAAATCTCCGAGTATCTGGACAAGCTTAGGCAATGGTTGCAGAAACAACCACATTTAACTGCTAGAGACGGTAAGCATATTTTTGATGATTTTTGATTTTTCAATAATGCGCAAGTGTACGTTGCCAAAAGTTTGCTGTAATGTTAGCTATCGGGAAAATATTCCATTGAAACACTAGATATGCACCTTCGGGGTCGAGATAATGTCTCTCAGATACCTCAACAGTCCCACAGATACCAAACAGTTCTTTAGTCGATTTGGTTTATCAATTATCAATTAGAGCTTTTTCACAACAATTTCAGTCTCGGTTTCAGTGTTTACAAAAGAAATCTCCTTTAGGAAAATTAAAAATTTTTTTGCATATGCGATACGGAAGAGTCTTGGAACAGGCTAAACACCAATAGAACTAAAAGAGTTAATTTTGCAATGTGTCTATAAAAAATAGCACATAATTTTTATTACAGCGACAACCTGCATATTTCAATAATTACACTCAGAGATATTTGAGTTGCTTTGCAATTTCGCGTTAATCGTCGCGTCAATTACAATGTAATGTAACTGGACCGCGGTAAAGGAGTTTATTTGGCAGAATCGTTTACTTTTTTTTCGATTTTGTATGTGAGTCTTTTTTACTAGGAAGGTGATAGTATCATCTTCATTATTTGGTCAAGGGTGACATCCATTGTTATCAAGCTCGTTACGTAGCGTGGATTTTGCAGACTCAGCGAGACCTGCATTTTTGTCACGTGCTCGGGTGTAAACATAACGAAACTCTCAGATTCGAAGAGATTGCGGCAACCGCGCTCGCTTTCCGCACAACGTTTTTTGTAGTAGCCAGACACCTTCTATTCATGTTCGCTATGAAGCGGTATATGTGTACCTTTTCCTATGTTTAACAAAACACAAATTCAGAACCACATTTTTGAAACAGTAAAGCGGCCTCCTATTACAACTTCTGGAACCCTTAGCCGTTTCAGCACGAGTGGCTAAAAGCATAATATAAATAAAAGGAAGATAATAAGAAAAAAGCTCTTCAAATTCAAATGTCTTGTCTTGCGGTGGTATTTTGAATATTAGGGTTGTAGACGTTGGTCCAAATGTGACCTCGTAATTACTTCGAATGATCTATACAGTTTTTGCGCAAGGTTACATACTTTTGGAATGCCTCTACCGTTAACCGTAACAGTTTTATCATAGATGTAAAAGCATAGTTACATCTGTGGTTTTATTTAATTTTGTTTTGATTGAAAAATATCAGGTGATAGAGCCTTACCGTAGGTATATATTTTTATACTTGCAGATGATATGCACTTGTTATCATTTTTGCGTGGATCGAAATGGAGCTTTCACGTAGCTACACAAAAGATCGACCAGTTTTATAGCATGAGAGCTTTGGTACCCGAATTATTCCAGAATAGAGATCCATTATCTGAGGAACTGCAGGCTATTTTTAATGCTAGGTAAGATTGATCAGAGTTGAGGAATTTAATTCGTATTTTAGATCCATAACTCCATTGCCCGATGAGGCCGGTTATGTCGGTCCCAAAATGATTCTGTTAGTTTTTAATGAAGCAGCGGCGGGTATCTCGTTAGTATCCCTAGTTAAAGCTCTCTTTATGAGTTTTGATGTTTTGATGCATGAGAATGACAACATTATTGTTTCCGGATTTAAAATCTTTTGCGACTACAAAGAAGTTACCCCAAAATATGTTCTAAGCGAGTTTACGCCAAGTATAATGAAAAAATTTGCAGTTGGCCTTCAAAGCGTATACCCGATGAGAATGAAAGGGCTAATTGGCATAAACGTACCAAAATCGTTAGAGGTAGTTTATAACAATATTGGAAGACACTTTTTGAGTACCAAACTTCAGGAAAGAGTAATTTGTACTCTACTTTGGACAACAGCTTATAAACAGTTTTTAGGTACGTTTAATTTCTGAAAGCGATTGGAACCAAGCTGCAGGTTGTGATGTGATGAAGTTCATTCCTAAGGAATATGGCGGAAAAAATACATCGTTGAATGTGTTAGCAGGTATAATCAATGTCACTAAACGAGCGCATAAATTACTTATAATCTTTAGATGAATGGAGCAAGAAAATGGTAGACTGCAGAGAATGGTTTTTAGAGGAGAATAATTACATTTGTGATGAAACATGTAGGCCGGATTACACATCTTGTAGTGATAATTTAGGTATGGTGGGATCGTTTCGCCAATTAGATATCGATTGATATACATATATTTAGTACTGCTACATATTAGCACCTACCAGGGCGAAATTATGGAACCGAAATATTAGTTGCAATAAATTGTAGTCTGGTTTTTCCAATTGAATTCTCTGAGCATTCTCGTTGTAATTTCACACTTGTCAGCTAAACCACAGATGCATCTGTGGCCAAACTAAATAACAAACTTATTTATTGCTGTTCTTCCAAGCCATTTTAAAAACTGTGCGTGAGAGGGCAGATGTGTATTGTGTATATTAAGTACTATCTTGGAGTAGGATTCATAACGCCTTGAGGAGCACTCTAGTTCATAAATTGGAAAGGTAAAGTTTACCGCGATTATGGAATCAAAAGAAATGATGTCCAGTATTTAGATTTTCCTAAAACGGCGAATATCAAGGTAAGGTTATAATCTAATAAACAATTACGAGGAACTACTAAACAACCATATTGAGAAATCTATCAGTGGAAATAAATAAAATGTTACCAGGTCGAAGTATTTTAATTAACCAACTCAGTATACGCATATATAATTTTTGCCTTGAAATTTGATATTAATGTATTTTGAAAACATCTTTATAATACTCCCAAAACTTCAGCCCACAGTCTACGTTGTTACGTATCTCGTACTGAATGGCTGTGAGAAATTTATCAGCTGCTCTGCAGGAAATAGCCGAAAGGGAACTATTTGAGACTCCTGAAAAACTAAATGATGGTTTGGTGTACATTCGTGATTGGTTGCAGAAGCAACCGCATTTAAACGCAAGAACTGGTAAGTAAAAAGAGCACAGGAAATAAATTTTTATTGAAATTATTTGTATTCCATTGGTGTCAATTTCGGTAAAATTTTCACAAATTTTCATGAGTTTTATAATACTCATTCCCCTAAAGCTCTATCTTTGTCTATCTTTTTGGACACAAGGTAGTATTGTTCTTTTTTGTAAAACATTGACTTGCGACCCATAACCTTGTTTTATCACTTATTTGGGAAATGGGATAATAGAACGTTCTGTTCCAACTCTCACAATGCGGTTCACACATTACGAGGGTCGTTTTGCTTGACTGAGTTGTACTTAGAAATGGATAAAATTGGAATTTGGGGTGTGATTCATTTGTTCTATGGAGAAGGTGATTCGCGAAAATATATCCATTAGGTTGGATGATTCAACCCCATCGTACGAAACAGTTTGCGAGTGAGCGAACTTAAAATAGTTAGAACTTGCGATTCCACTGTTACCCTAGAAATCATCTATAAACTCTACGAAAGGGCAGATACATCACGTAATTGCATCACGAATCGACCATGAGAAAACGAAGAAGACGCGTGGCGCACTTGCTTACATTGGGTAATAAATAACGTGTTCGAGTACTGAAGCCCGTTGAAAGGTAGAGCCTGTTGCGAAAGAATCGAGAAAGTCTATGCGTTTGCACTTTGTTACCATGAACGAAACCTGGATTCACCACTACGCTCTTAAAAACAATACAAATCAAAACATTTTTATTAAAGAACTGTTTTTACAGTATTGATGAGTACATGGCTGCCCCTACATGCACAGACATGATTTTTTTTATGTTAGTACCTATTGTGAATGTGACGTAACCAAACAATTTTTAAATTGAATGCGTTTAATAAAAGTTATTATTATTATAAAACAAAGTAACAGTAAGAGAGGCGAATCGGCTCCAAAAAAGGCACCTTTAAAAAGCAATATGCGGGTCACTCTGTAATTGGGCGAAAGCCTGTTGACGGATAAATAAATAAATAACTAAATAACTAAATAAATACATAAATAAATAAGACGGTTGCGTCGGTCGGGAAGGTGATGGCGTCAGTTTTTTGGGATGCAAAGGGTATTCTCCTAGTCGACTACCTTGAAACGAGTAGTACAATCAACAGAAAGTACTATTCAGTACTTTTGGAGCGCATAGAAACGGCCTAGATTAAGCGAATAAGAAGAATTTTGTGTCCAATAAATTGGTCGCTTTGCCATTCCAATTGATTTCCCATCCCCATTATACGCTGAATTTAGGTCCGTGACTTCCAACTGTCCCTAAAAATAAAACTGAATATCTATTTTAAGGAGCTCGAGGAAAGCGACTTCCGAACAGAGATCGTGGGGCGGGAGAAACGCTGGTGAGATTACGTTGTGCTTTGGTAGGCGAGACGCCAAACAATAAAATACATTTGGCTTCAATACAGTCGATTTCAAAACAGGACTTATGAAAGGACCCATGATGCACTTGCTCATCACCAGCTTTATTTTTTATTTCCTCATACTTCTTCCATAGCACTCAAATTAGTGTATACCTTTAATGGACGTCTGAAATGTTATGATTTGACATTTAAATCCCATTCGCATAACCGATTCGTTTTTTAGATGACCAATTCTTAACAACATTTCTACGAGGATGCAAGTTTAGCTTACACCGTACCCAGGAAAAACTCGATTACTATTACACATCCAAAACCATATTAACTGAGCTCTACTCGAATAGAGATCCATACGATCCAGAAATCCAGGAACTACTAAAAGCTGGGTAAATGCACCAACGTTACCGTATTCCTTTGTTCACTAAAATTGTAGGGTTATTCTACCTTTGCCTAATACGCTTACTGAAAGTACACCCAGAATAATACTACTCCATCTGACGGGTATGAATCCAGATAAAGTTTCTTTTCTTCAATTTCAAAAGCTACAGCTAATGATATATGAAATCTTGTTACAAGAAGATGATCGAATTGTTACTGCTGGGGTCGACATATGGACGGAATTAAAAAATACTAACCACGGCTATGCGACGCAGATAACACCAACATCTTTAAAGAAGTTTAACTCCGTGTTACACAGAGGGTACCCAATACGAATGAAGAGCGTCTACTGCACAAATTGTCCCCCTATAGCCGAAAGTCTATTTAACTTGATGAAGTCCATATTGAACGAAAAAATAAGAAATAGGGTAAGTAACAAACTAAATCTAATAAAACGCATTTCTTGTTCCTCCAGATGGGGGTTTTTAGTGGTTCGGATGAATTTTACAAGAAGCTACCCAAGAAGCTACACCCTATTGACTTTGGAGGGGAAAATGGAAAACTTAGCGAGCTACAAGGTTTAGTATGATTTTCTGTAAAGTCTATTAGACGAAGTCGCTTTTCAGAATTTTGGAAGGGAAAGGTGGAAAGTTACCGCGATTGGTTTTTAGAGGATACACAATATGGCACAAAGGAAGAATTGAGGGTGGGAATACCTAAAACGTCCGCTACTCTTTTTGGCGTAGAAGGAACGTTTCGAAAACTCGCCGTCGATTAAAAACGAAGAGATGCGTGTCTGGGCGTAATATTTGATTTTCAATTTGAAATACAAAACAACTACACGCGGTTTAATTATTTTTAGTGTGTCTTGAGAAAAATGCCCTTTTTTTCCCAAAATTTCTAGATAGGTGTAATGTTCCTAGGGGGGTCTATCAAGCCGACACGGAAGACGTTGACTTACCCTATACTTACGGTTGGCAACTCTGACAAAATCTACAAGCAGAGCCACATACCTTTCAAATCGAAACGATGGTAGTCTCGCGGCACTTTTGAATTTGGATGACAGTCGGCTCGATATGGGTGGCACGAATGGACTCCTACGTTGTGTAATCGGTTCTTTTATGTGTTGGGACGTGAGACATAATCGGGAAGGGAATTAAATAAAAGACAGAACTTTTGTGCGTAAGAAATGACAAGATCAAATAAATATATTAACGCACACACAAGACCATGCCAGGGAAACCTTCTCCGGGACTAAAACCCTGGCATAGGACATACAAATACATAAAATAAATCACCTACAGCAATAAAATGCAAGAGAAAATACACATAAATAAGACATCTCAAATGGTATGATAAAAATCAGATAATCAAATCAAATGCAATTAAACAAGTTCATAAAAACAAAATACACAAGACATCATAAATGCAGTGGAAAACATGATAAATCAATTCAGTACAAAAACACATCAAAATACCTGTACGATCAATAGAAATAACACAGCTCGTCAAATAAACAAATTGCATGTACATAGGAAACATGTAAATGGTGTGGCTCTACTCCATCCTTCAGTTAACATAATTTAAATTAACACGAAAAGTACATGTAAGAATGCCATTGGTCAAATAGCAAGTATTCATGTGAAAATCGATTATCGCTCAAACAGAACATATTTTAAATAGAGGAAATGTAAATGAGAGGCCCCCACTCGTATTGCTAAGATGTTAAGAACTACAATCCGCACGAGACGAGTAAGCAACAGATACAGCGAACGATCTAACTGCATTAGGTACCTACTCCACGGAGACAGAAATACCCACTCGCACACACAAACATCAAAACATCAAATAAAAGAGCCCCCCTTCGTATAGCTAACGCACAAGAACTGTAGCGAGCCACGAAACAGAAAGTAACAGATACAGCGAACAATCAAACTGTATTAGGTGCTTCCCTCACGGAATTGTTACGGGTCAATCGAACAGAGCAACATCACACCGATAATCAACTCCTCATGAATAACAGAAGTAAATTACTTAATTAAACAAAATAATGGCATAATCATCTGTACAATATGACACAAACATGATTCATCTAACGGTACACGAAACAAAGGCATGGAGTACGCCATGATTCAGATATCGTAGTTTATGCAAAATCAGCAAAATGTAAATATCACATTGTGGCAAGAAATTCAATGATTAAATATGTAGTACAAGAAAGAATAAAATGGTTACTACCTGTAAATACATCTTCAAAACACCACCACCAAAAATAATCAAGAATAATCAAAAAAAACCGGGAAAGCGTGTGCCTTCCGTCGGCCTCGTCGCCATCTTCTCCACATTCTCTCCTAGCTTCGTTACCAAAATCCCCCAGTATTCGGCATCTGCGCAAAACGGTCGTTGGTTATATACAGAGCATATTATATTTTTGTTTCAGATGTAAATGTGTGTTGCCTAACCATCAGGGTGGATTATCACATAGGATAAGTTGTCTGGTACGTCCAGACCAGTGGTTTCCAAACTTCTCTCCATAGTGCCTCCTTTCTGAAAACTAAAACTCCCCACGCCCCCCCTCCCCAATTACAAAAATAAAAACCGTGTTTAAAAATGTTCATGTTACGTTTTTCATGAAGGTTTGGGTCGGTTGTTGCAATCATTAGAGTTATAAATTATATTCGTTACTAATATCTTGAAGTGTTTTTTTTAACTGAATCACTAAACTGCTCGCAGGTACTTTTGATTTTGTAATTTTTGGAATATTGTTCTGTTATTGAGTATATTTACTTGTTTGGATAATAAAATATTATATTATTATATTATATCATTATGTTACACAGGGTGAGTTTTTTTTTCATTTTCACTAAGCTTGTAAACCGCAACAGATACAAAGGCGTTTAAATGGGCAAACTCATGCAGAAAGTTATGCTAATATTCCCTTCAAAGTTACTTGTAGGTGCACAAATAGCGAAGTTGTAACCAAAAATCGAAAAATAGTTATTTATATAACAAGAGCGCGAAGTTCAATTTCGCGCATTGAGACTGAAGGTATTTTGACGAGGCGAAGCCGAGTTAAAATATCAGTCTAATGCGCGAAATAACTTGGCGCTAACGTTGCATACAATATTTTTTCTACAACCGAATCGATTGTTAATTAAATTTGCTGTTTAAGTTCAACTTTGTCAAGTGCGCGAAATACTTTTTTTCATTGTTGAGAATGCGCTGGCGTTAATTTACTTATTTTTAAAGATATCAAAAATAAAATTTTTATATGACAATTCAACTCATGTATTAAAAATCGCATAAGCCGCAGTGCAATTGTCACTTTGACAGCGGCAAAAGTTACCTGCAACTTTTCCAGCGACAAATGCACTAGTGGTTTTTTCACTTATTCATTTTCAAACCAAATATCGCATTATCCTTTCCCATATGACTAGTATGACGTCTGTCAATAATTGATTAGTTTGGTGAATTTCTTGTTCATTAAATTGTCCTGCCGAATTATTATTATTATTAGTTGACAGTTTTTCTCGTCTAATTGCTAGGCAACAGATTTTCATTACCTAAACAACCCAAATTTACTCGGTAAAATACAAACCTCTTGTGCAATTATAAGTGACAATGACATTTACCGTTGGATCAACTAAATTTTGAGTGGTCGTGTTTAAACTTCAAAATCAAAGGAACCATTCATTATACGAGACACAGGAATTTGTAGCGATTGCCTTTTTCAAACAATTGGATTAACCTGGTGGATCAATCAGTACTTACTTGGAAATTGACGACCAAGGGGTAGTCTTTAGTTTTCTGTATAAGTAGGGTAACCACATTCTTAAATTCATTGTAGTAGTGAACTGATTCCTTTAAGGGCGTCGGAAAATTTTGGAGATTATTTAGGTACCAGTTAAATAAACTCTTAAAGATGCGGTCGATGAAATTATAGAAGAAATTACGTTGTACAAGATTTTTCATGTGTTTAGCCAGCTAGGTTGAATTTGTTTTTATCATTTTCATTATAATAACTAAAGGAAGCGCTATACAGTGTGTACCAGATCGGGTGGGATTGCATGGGTAACTTTCTTATTGTTAAAGATGGAGAATTTGTTTTACATGGACAATGTTTTGCAGTTTTAGATGATGCTCATTGAAAATTTCCTTGTGGAAATTCAAAATGTCGCATAGGTTCGACGTAAATTCAAAAAAACTAAAATTGGTCATTTCCTTTAATGTCTTATATCATCGAAAGTATAAGAGATATAAAAAAAGTTTTATATAAAAGTTACTGTGTTTAATACGCCTAATTTAGAATTGATGTAAAAAAAATTCAAGATGGCTACCTTCGAGGAACATTTACCAACTTCCTAAAGTTAAATAGGCGCCATATTGGATTTTTAGATTATTTGATAGATTTTTTAATTCTCTTTTCAACGAGCTATCATAGCATAAGATTGAGAATAAGATACCAGTTATATCAACGGTTCTTATATTTTAATCAAGTAGGCTACGATGAATTAAAAAAAAACAAAACAAAATCTATTCACAACAATTGTTAACAAACTTAATATTTAAACATTAGTAAACTTTGGGTTGTATTGTTGATCACAACGCACAACATCGCCTTTGACGAGACCAGAATGATTGACAAGGTCCAAAATATGACTAAGGGGCCTAACCTCACCATCCCAAATGGTTCTTAAAGATTACCTTCTACCATTGGATAACAAATTATTTTTTATTCAATGCTTCTACATTGAATACCACGCTTACCATTTAACGACGCCCCCAACCAAAGAATTGAAAAGTTTGTCAGTTCCAGCCACTATTGTGTCATCACATTAGAGTTATAGAGCAGCACTAAGTTAAGGTGGTCGCGAGATCATTGAAATGTTTGATGCAAATTAAAAATGTATATTATTTTTATGTAAAATTAAATTTTACCAATTCAAACACAAATACGAAGATATCTACAATTCGGTAAATTCGCCTTACTGTGCAATTCAGTGTGATGGAAACAGCGATGATGCATAATGTTGCCAATAACGGAAATTTAGCAAATCAACAAAATTGTACAGTTAATAACGAGGTTAATAATTTCACTAAACAATTTAAATAAGTTGGTTGTTTTGGTGTAGTTGCTAGCGTATGTAGTTTATGATGGCGTTATAAGGGAAGAGATCCTGTTCTGGAATGAACCAAAAACGACCTCAAAAACCATTGATGTGTACTTAATTAAAAAAACATAATATTTTATGGGACATAAATTTAATTTTTGCACCATTAGAAAGCTGAGAAAAAATCGCTGTAGGCTTGTTAACGAGCTCCTAGCGAGTTTATAATTTTGCGGTCTCTGTCCGTCTGTCTGTCTGTCCGTCCGTTAGCACGATAACTCATAAACGAATGGAACGATTACGATGAAATTTTGCAGGTGGATTCTTTATCAAATTTGTAGATCGGAGTTCGTGAATTGGCAATGTAGCCCAAAAAATAAGGAAGGCCCTTTTGACATCTCCGTGAGTTATGAACCGAATTGCATGGAATATGCGTATAGCTTTAGCCATATAAAACGCAATTCCAAAAATTGAGCCTAATCGATGAACAGTCATAGTACCCTTTTCGCATCTCGCCCATTTACAAAACCGGGCTCCGTTAACTTAGCACCACCATTTCAAATTTTTGACTAAAGACAGATTGCGCTAGAATCTCTATGGCTAGCGCCAGCTAGCGCCAGCTAGCGCCACTTTGAGTTCAGCTAGCGCCATTATAGATTTTGCAGAAAAGCCCTTGATTTTCGGGGGGTGCTATGTTAACGCTAGCACCACCATTGCGTCCGATCATTTCCAAA